AGAGAGAGGAGGGGAGGGAAAAGAAAAAGATTAAATCAAGCACAAAATAGCAGGAAAAAAACAAACCACAAGTGAAATCCAATGTTCTCTAAAAATCTGAAGTTTATTCATTAGAATTCAGTGAAAGGAACATTCATTGTAAAACACAATCAACACATTAAGAAGTTTAAAGGACTAGTAGCAGTGAGACCAGAAAGAAAATGAAAAACCCCAAATTCAGACAAGTTGGTCACCTGGGAGGAGCCGCCGCCGCGCCCAGGGTGCCGGCAGCCCCACCGCACAGCAGAAGCAAGGGGCGACCTGGGACAAGGGCTAATTTATTTTTTTCTTTAAAACTGAGAGGCTTTTCTAGATTTTAATTTATCACTTCACCCAAACGTAGCTTCCAGGATGGCTCAATACCGGTGAGAAGAGCAGGTAGCCGGAGAGGAGGGAGCCGCAAAATTAAGGGGCAGAGGGAATGTGAAACGCGGTGCAGGTCGGAGCGCCCCAGGAATGTTTGCCGAGCGACCTGCCCAGCCCGTCCCTGTGCTGGGAATGGGGGCAAACCCATTTAAGAAAAAAAACCAAAAACCAAAAAAACACCACCAAACAAAACCAAACCACCATTACGTGAAGAGCCATTTAAATAAAAGACATAAAAATCTATGCAGAGCCAAATGTCTCAGCGGCAATTGCCATCTCTGCTGGCGGTGGGGCGGGGGGGGAAGAAGGGGAAGAAAATTTGCTTTTGGCTGTCATCTTTTAGCTTTTCAGCATTTCGTTTTCTTTTTGCACGTCACTGTTGGACATGGTTCTTGTCTGCTCAATTCATCACCGCGGCCTTCTGCAGAGAAGTTATTTCAGCCCCGACATCCCGCGCAGGGCTGCAAACTCCGCAGGGGCACAACTCCTACAGAGCCAAGCAAACAAAGCAGCATATTCATCCAACAAAATAAAAAACAACAGCAAGAGCCACACTAACTACTGTTGGGTCTTCGCTTACCAGAAGCTCTCCTTGCATTTCTGATCCCAAAATTCAAGGCAGTGTTATTCCAGGAAAACGCTTTATTGATGCTGGCATGGCAGGTGGCACAGGGCTGGAGCTCCCCAGGCTCCAGCCTAGCGCGGCAGGAGGGAAGGGGCAAAGCCCCGCTAATCCCCTGCTGACCCCAGGGTTATTTTCAGAGCAACCCTCAAGACACGGAGCAGGCGATGCTGCCTGTGCAAGGGCGAAAGCCGAGCTCCCCGCCCGGCCAGGGGGCACCGAGGGAGGAGGAAATCCGTCACCGGTTTCTAGAGCATCACCACGCAGCAACCAACGGCATCTCCCGCCCGGGGATTTAAGAAAAGCCCCAATTTTGGATAAAGTACTTTCAGCACACAGAAGGGAAAGCCCCAACTGAAACTTGCGCTTTTCTAGTTTCGAGACAGTCAACAATATTTTGAGGGAGAAATCACCAAAGTCCACAAATTCAGATTAAAAACAAAGCTTAGAAAAAGAAGTAACAGTTGACGAGTATGACAAAGCAGGATGAAAACAAGGACGTGCGAGCGGTGTGTGCAAAGAGGGAGCGTGGTACCGGTAAGGGACCGGCGGCCGGGTGTCCGAGCTGGCCCAACACCCCTACGGCAGGACGGGAGGAGCGAGGAGGTTTCCTTGCATTGCCCGGGCAGTGGCGGCAGCAGCAGCAATCATTGCCTTTTCTCCATCGGAAGGGTAAACCACAGCACTTTAAATGACAACGCACACGAGTAAAAGAACAGTCCATAAAATTTCCCCATGAATATAAAATGCAAAACTATACAAAAATAGATAAAATCGACCATTTTCTTATGTGTATAAAAACAAACAAAAAAACCCCAAGGTCCCCCAAAAGCAATACAGAATTCCTTGGTAGACTGACCCGAACGTCAGCGGTTTCAGCCCAAGTTAACATCCATAATTCACCACTTTGAAGCAAGACCTTCCCTGGAAGGGACATAATTCAGGCGAGTTCCTGGAGGGGAGTTTTTCCTCAATATCTTGGCAAGACAATCTGCTATTCCTGACTTTTATGACTTATTTCTGGTTCGGAAGCCCGTTTTTCATAAAAAGCCTCAATTACCACTCTCAAATTTGAGTTCCTTGGTAAGGCAGTGTTTGACTAACAGCTTGGTCCAGATCAAGACCAGAAGACCCGGTCCTACCTACGCGGGGGCAGATGGGGATTTTCGGAAGCGCAGTACATTAGGCAGTGAAATCCAACCTCTCTGTGGCAGCGGTAATTTACAGAGTGGGTTAGCGCACTGAAAATTCTTATTTTTGGGGTTAATGGGGCAGAATATGCCAATAATCCAGGAAATTAGCTCCAAACATGCTTTTAGAAAACTCATTTTAAAATCAATAGGTATTTGCATCATTTAGTTCACATCAAATTAGAGGAGAAACCTTTGGTATAAAGTCAGATTATCAAGTCTTGGCTGCATTGCTTTCACGCACTCGAGTCTAGAAGCTGTTTTCACTACGCCTTTCCATTACGTACCTACAAAGGAAAGAATTATTCCTAGAGACATGCATTTGCAACTGAACATTCATTTTAGCACCGAGACACTTTCATACCTCACCAAGACTTTGGCAAAGGCTGCACCGTGTCAAAACAAAACGCTACGCAAAACTCCCTTAACCCGCGAGATGCCTTTGGTGACACGCTAAAATAAAACAGTAATTAAAAAACCAAAACCAGCAAGGGGCTGCTGCTCAGGCCAAGCAATTGCCGTGAATGGACACCTGTCTGCGTGACGACGTCGCCAGCATCATTTCCTTGTGGGTTTTATTTTGTGAGTGGCGGTGAGATGTGCAGAGCAGAGATCTGACCCTGTCCTTACTCCAAGCAAGTGGGGAGCCTGTTCCAATTAGGGGATATTCGTTAGCAGACGCTCAAGTGCCGTGCTAACGAGGGCAGACCGCGCTCACAACCCGAGAGGCGAGGGGACCTTCCGCTGGCCGACTGCGTTCTCCTCTTCAGGTGGGGGATGCGGAGCGGGGGCAGCATCAAGAGCCGGGTTTGTCCCACGAAATCCTCTCCCATTGCACGGAGGGACGGGAGAAAAGAAAGGTGGCAGGGTGGGTTCCTGCGCTAACTCCCCACAGCAGTACTGGTAGAAAAATACTGAAAAATTAAGGTTTAAGCCCATGGATACGCAGATGGGTCTTCTCTAGCCTCAGCAGTCTGCTCAGGAAAGAAAAATCACATAGGTAAGTCGAACCGCGGGCAAGCAAAGCCTGGCTTTGTCTTTCCCTGCTCCTTCACAGATACACGAGGACAGGGCAGAAAGGAGCCTCTTCCCAAAAAGAAATATCGGGACCTTATTTTGCTTGAGGAGGGGAAAAAAAAAAACCAAACCCAAACAGCTCTTTGCGCCTGTAAATACAGCGATGCAGGGAGCTGCCGACGTTTCCAACCGGAGCCACGTCCGTACGGGGCTGTGGGTGGAGAGAGGAGCGGGGGGTCCCCACTGCGGGCAGGGGTTGGCAGGAGAAGTGGGGTTGGGGCTGGGCAGAGCCGCCCCTCGCCCCGCACTTTGCTCCGGAGATGGGGAAAACTCTGATACTTCCAGTTGGTGATTTATTTATTTTTTTTAAAAAACTGGTACAAACTCTGCTGCAAAGCAAAGCAGAAAAGGGGCAACCTGGGGGGCGGGGAACAAAACTCATCAGTGGTAACTGAATTAACATCGGCATACGGAGCTTGGACAGGAGGAGGAAGCAGCTTTGTAAGTCACGGACAGGGAGGCTGGGTTTAGAGACAAGTATGTTTGAGATCACGGAGGACATGGGAGACGTCTCGGGGACGAACGGCCTGAAATAGATGTTTCCAGGAGCTCGTACGACCTCCTCAGACAAAGTCTGTCTCCTTAGCTCGTGTCCTTCCTCCACGCTCCTTCCAAGAGGAAAAAGAAATCCAAAACCTGCAGCAACCTCCAGCTTTTTTGTTCCCTCCAGTTAGGAGGAAGAAGTCGTGAAGCCTAATTTAGGCTGCGTTACATCCTGTATTCCAATTAACAGAATACTTTCCTTGTATGAGTTTATGCAAAGAAAACAACCGTAAAATAATTAAACAAAAAAACCCCACAAAACTTCCTTTTGAAGAAAGTAACAGCATCTGCAACTTCGCAGCTACAGGCACGACGCAAATTTAGCTTATTTCAAAGACCTTGTCCGTGTGCCCATGGCCTGGGAGAGGCAAGGAGCATGGGACAAAGCACGGGAAAGGTTCCAACCGGGAATTACGCACGGGGAAGACAAACCACGACAAAGAAGGGACCGACAATTTGTTCTTAAAAGGGACACAATCGACAGCACATCTCTCCGAGCACAGTATCTTTGAGGAAATTAAAACTAGACCTGGAAAACATTATCGGCACACACACAAAAGCTCCTGCTTTCCTTTGGGGCAAGGGAAAAAAAAAAATAAATAAAAACGTTACTGCGAAGTTCCCCTTTCAGCTGACTCGCCTCCCGTCTCCTCGCTCTAGAAATAATCGGCATCCTTCCTCCCAGCCTCTCCGAATCGAGACCGAGATGGAAGACATTCAAAGTGAGTCTGAACCAAAACATTTCACCGAGAGGAAGAAACAACCCAATTTCTCTCAAAAGTTTCCCCAAGGCTTGCTCCCCCAGCTCCAATCCTGCAGAAAAAACCCAAACCTGCCACGCTAGCAACGGGTCCGTTCCCAGCTTTTATTCTAGCAGCAACGTGAGCGCGCGCCGGGGGCTGCTACCGCACTTGGCGTTCAGGAGCGTGACGGCTCGCGGTGGAAAACAAGAAAGTGCCTCAGCGTTAACGCACGAATCCCGGAGGCGGCTCCAAACCCCATCAAGAGCATCCGCAGCAGCGAGACCACGTACCGTGGCTGCGGAAGAAGAGCTCATCCTTATCAGCCCAGGTCTAAATTCAAGTCACTCATCGACTGCTCCTTAATGTTTCTTTTCTCCCTCCCCGCCCTTTGCAGCCCTTTTCACACCCTCCCAGGAGCAGCTATTCGGCTTCGTTGACGTTCACTGCAGCGCTCCGGCAGCCGGCAGGCAGCGCGTGGCCGAGGGTGGCTTTGCCTTTCAGGGGCTCTCCGCAGCGCTCCGGGCTTTTTAGTGCCGCCGTTGGGATGCTGAGGCATGCCCTGGGCGATGCCGATGGGTTTGCACTTGGTGCGTTTCTCCGGAGAACAAGCGAAACTAAAGCTTGGGGGCAGCTCGGGCTCTGTTTCTCCCAAGGGTAGCAAACGGGCCAGCTTTTTGGCAGCGACTTCTCCGCGGTACCTGTAGGAACCGGACGCCTCCCGGGTCCACCTCGCGTCGGTCTGCAGAGGTAAATTGGAGGGCCTGAGGGGGTGCCTGTTCAGCTCCGGCTCTTCGGGCTGCCTGTCCAGAGTCTCTTCAGCGACGCTCCGGGAGAGGGACAGGAAAGGGGACACGGTGCCCAGCTGCTCCGATGGCTCCCAGGCACTTTTCACCGTGGAAGACAGAGCGAAAC